TGGTCTCTATTATAGACAGACTGTAAACTTGATTATAGTCAGAGTATAGTCTCGAGTATAGGCAGAGTTAAGTCTGAACTAGTCTCGACCCAATTTCAAATCATGTTATGAACATGACCTTATTTAAAAAAATAACAAAGAAATTAAATTTCAAATCATTTTTTACAATAATACTTTTGATTTTCAATTAATACTTTAACATGCATTTGACAAAATATCCCCCTATAACTCTCTCAATTAAGCAATTTCAAAGAAAATTAAGATATAGTGTAATATACTTAACAAAACATATATCAAATTACAAAATCTAAAAAAAAAACACCAACACAATTTAAATGGGTTGAAAAACTACGTCTTTACAGCAATTAAAGTCAATAACATTTCGAAAAAAAACCCTGAAAAGTAAACTACTACTAGAGTAACTAATTAAAATGTCATTTATGACAATAAGAGACAAAATTAAAAAAAAAAATAAGAAAGAAACCCTAAAAAATCACAGCATGTGATCGAAATTAGAAAATTTTGTAACAAACATATCTACTTAATAATAAAATTTTGAAAACTACAGTTGTAATTGTTGATGTAAACAAGACAAATTAAATGACAATTTAAAAATGTTATTAAATAATGCTGGTTTAGTTTTTTTTGGAGATATATAAATAAAAAACGTACCCCTATTTAATTAAAAACAAGAATCAATAAATTTTAATTAAAAAGAAGTTGAAAGTTAAGAAGATTTTTAAGAAAAGGAACTAAATGTTATAGAGTCATCCCTCTTAAAAGATACTATAATTAATTGGTTATTGGGTGGATGAATATTCTTAAGAAATATACTAAAGACTTGTTAGCAGTTTTTTTTAACCTAAGGGATGGATACTTTTAGCGTGAAGGTAACTAACATAGAACTAGTTTTGTTATTAGTTATTTGGGTATAGTATGTAACTTTAATAGCGCGATGACCTATCTGAATGTAAATTGGTACTTTTTCACTCATTCTGTCATAGATCAAACTATTAATTCAAACAATAATCTCGACTATAGAGAGGTTAAAGTCTTGACTACAGCCAGACTATAGTATTGACTAAAGTTTTGACTATAGACAGACTATAGTCACGAATTTAGACAGATTGTAGTCTCGACTATAGAGACCATAATCTATACTATACTATAGAGAGACTCCAACTTCAACTATAGAGAGACTATAGTCCCAGATATAGAGAGACTATAGCCTCAGCTATAGAGAGACCATAGTCTCATCTATAGACATACTATGATTTCAAATATAGAGAGACTGTAGTCTAAACTATATGTAGACTATAGTCTCAACTATAGACAGACTATAGTCTCAACTATATACAGACTATAGTCTCAAGTATAGACAGGCTATAGTCTCAACTATAGAGAGACTATAGTCTCAAATTTAGACACACTAAAGACAGCCTATAGCCCAACTATATACATACTATTGTCTCAAATATAGAGAGACTATAGTCTTATCTATAGACAGACAATAGTCTCAACTATAGACATACTATAGTCTCAACTATAGATAGACTATAGTCTAAACTATAGACAGGCTATTGTCTCAACTATAGAGAGACTATAGTCTCAGCTTTAGACATACTATAGTCTCTACTATAGATAGACTATAGCCTTGACTATATACAGACTGTAGTCTCGACTATAGCCTCGTCTATAGAAATACTATAGTCTCAACTATAGATAGACTATAGTCTAAACTATAGACAGACTATAGTCTAAACTATAGACAGACTATAGTCTAAACTATAGAGAGACTATAGTCTCAACTATAGATAGACTATAGTCTAAACTATAGACAGACTATAGTCTCAACTATAGACAGACTATAGTCTCAACTATAGGGAGACTATAGTCTCAACTATAGGGAGACTATAGTCTCAACTATAGGGAGACTATAGTCTCGACTATATACAGACTGTAGTCGCAACTAAAGAGAGACTATAGTCTCAACTATATAGTATCTCTATAGTTGAGACTCTCAACTATAGAGAAACTATAGTCTCATCTATAGAGAAACTAAAGTCTCAACTATAGAGAGACTATAGTCTCAACTATAGAGATACTATAGTCTCAACTATAGAGAGACTATAGACAGACTGTAGTGTCGACTATAGACAGACTATACTCTCAACTATAGGGAGACTATAGTCTCGACTATAGGCAGACTGTAGTCGCAACTATAGAGAGACTATAGTCTCAACTATATAGTATCTCCATAGTTGAGATAATCTCAACTATATAGTATCTCTATAGTTGAGACTATAGTCTCTATAGACTCAACTATGGGCATACTATGGTCTCAACTCTAGACAGACTTTAGTCTTGACTACAGACAGACTGTAGTCCCGACTATAGTAAGATATATTTTGTACTATAAACAAACTATTATCTCGACTATAGACAGACTATAGTCTCAACTATAGACACTATAGTCTGCCTATAGTGCCAACTATAATTCAATTATACACATACTATATAGACTCTAGATGGATTGTAGATCCAATTGAAGAAAGAACATAGAGTCGCGCCTATAGATGAACTCTGGTTTCATCTACAGGTTCGAATTACGACAAGCTATGGTATAGACTAAAGACAAACTCAAAGTCTCGAGTCATTACAGTCTCGGCTAAAGACAGACAACATTATCGTCTTAATTGTCCGATTATAGATAAACAATATATCGACTATATACAGGTTATAGTCTTGACTATGTAAAAGATTTTTGTTTCGACTAAAAACCAGCTATTATCTCGACTATAGACAGATTATTGGCTCGACTATAGACTGACTACAGTTGCGACTATAAAGAAACATTTGTCTCAACTATAAGTGGACTATGTATAGACATGATCACTAAACCGGGGGATCAACATTTCGTTGTAAAAAAAAACCTAGTATTGATTTCAGTTTATGGGTATTTTAAAAACAACTAAATTGAAATAAAAAAAAAATAATAAAAAATTTAAAACATAGTTTTTTGAAATAATTAAAAGTTTTTATTGATTTTTTTTTTTAAATTATAAATAAAATTATATATTTTACAATAAAATTAAGTTAAAATTAAAGAAAACATTTTTTAAATATTACTAAAAAAAATAAAATTTTTACAAGGATTTTAGGAAATAGGAGGGAGATTTTAGTTAAAAAATTTTAGCAATTACTATTAAGGCACACAGCTTTTTTTAAAAAAATTGTAAAAAATTTTTTTAAAAATTGTTGATTTGATTTATGGATTTTAAAATAGCAATTGCTAAAATAGGATTATTATTATTATTATTAAAAACTTAATGATAGAAATTAAATTAGAAATATAAAATAAAAGTATAAATAACTCCTTAGCGCCAATTTGTTGAAAAAAATGGTTTAAAGGAGTTTTTCTATAGGTGTTTGAAGCTTTTTTTTTAATAAAAATTAAACAGGCTAAGCTTGTTTTAATTGATTATTTAAAGGAAAATCATTTGACTAGATTTTGTTTTTAAAATAAATTATTTTAAAATTGTTTGACTAGAGTTTTTGGAATGGATTGTTTAAAAAAAAAATTAAAATTAAAATTTAATAAAAATTATAATTATTTTATAAAGTTTTTTTAAGATAGAAAAAAATTATTGTTTTTAAGTTTTTTTTTTATAAATTTTTGATTTTGAGGTAGCCTTAGTTATTTTGGTATTTTTTTAATATTTTTTTTATAATTTTTTTATGTTAACAACTACATAAATTGTACTTTTGCCCTGAGAAAAGTTTTTAATAATGTTTTTTTTTTTTTTGTTTTCTTTAAGCCTTTTAAAGAAATTCCTGATGTTTTTTTTATATAGTTCACCTATTTTTTTTAATCAAAATCTATATATACAAAGTGCTTTTTTAAAGGTTATATTTTGGGTAAAAAAAAAACACTTTTGGCCTATACGTTTAGTTTTTGTTTAACTGGGCTATAAATTCTTTTTTAGATTTTTTTTTTAAATTTGAGCAAAGCAGTTTTTTGTTTTAATCTTTTATGTTAAATTCTGTTTAGAACCCTGCTATTTTTTGTTTAGTAGCTATTTATTTTTTTAACTACTTTTTTATCCAACTATGGTTTTTGTATGTGTTTTTTTTTTCTAAATATTTTTTTACGTATTTTGTTTAGCGTTTTATTTTTTCTAAGTTTTTTTCTTTTGTTAAACTTATTTATAAGGTTTAAAAAAAAAAGAATTTTTAAAAAAAATTTTTGATTTTTTTCGATTTATATATAAGTTTTTTTTTTAAAGAACAACATGTAGGAACTTTTCTAACCATCACTTTTTTGGAAATTATATTATACTATTAGGGATTCTCTTTTAAATGGCAGAGGTCTTAAGCTTTTGCCAGTTGTTTTCAAAATTTTAAACTATTTTTTTAAATAAAGTTTTTTTTCAACACTCAGTCTTATTTATAAAATGTTTAAAATAGTTTTTAGAGTTTAAAAAAACGCTCAAACAGTTGGCAATACTAAACTTCGCTTTTAAGATAGAGCAAAGAGAGCCAAAGAAAAGCTTTGATTTCAGTTAGTTGTTGTGTTGAGTTAATTAAAATCAGGGCGAAGTGTAAATACAGAGAAACGCAATGAGCTCTCTTGTACTCACACATACTTACACCAGTCAGAGAACTAATTTTTAACTCTCTAACTTTCTTTGACCTAAAACAGACATCGACAGAGAGTGACAATTAAGCTCTTTGAAGTGTAAGCTTGTTGTTATGTTGAGTTAATTAAAATCAAGGCAAAGTGTAAATACAGAGAAACGCCATGAGCACTCTTGTACTTATGCTCACACATGCTTACACCAGTCAGAGAACTAATTTTTAACTCTCTACCTTTCTTTGAGCTAAAGCACACATCGACAGAGAGTGTGAATTAAGCTCTCTGAAGGATAAGCTGGTTGCTATACAAGTATGAACTTAAGCGTAAAAGCAAAAGAGCAAAAAAGCTTTTTACTTATCTCCGACATAAACTCAGTCTCAGATGAACGGTGAAGGACAGTTTATATGCATTCGAATGGATTAAATTTTACACTTTTTCAACAAAAACCTAAACAACTTTCCATAAGAGTACAGCCAAGGCGAATTCGTAGAAGATGAGATCATTTTAAAAACTAAAAACACAACAAATTCACCTAATTTGCCCGAATTCGCCAGTGACTTAAGCTTGTAGAGATTTAAAATCAGTTTAGCTTAAAAGCTTTCTAAAAGTTCATTGTAAAGACCGCTCTCTTTCTAGCTAAATTCATTTTATATATAACTCTTGAGGCTCTCCCTTTTTGATCAATTTCATTTTGTATAGATTCTTAAAGCTAAAGCTTAAAAGCTAACAAACTTTATTGGAAAAAAAGGCTCTTTCTCTCAATGACTTACATCATCTGGTAAAGATTTGAAAGCCTTAAAAGCTGTAAAGTTTCATTGTAAAACAGTTTTCTCTCTCCCTCTTTTAAACTCACAACTACTAATTCGCCTTAATTTTAAATCGTTCTCATTCTCTCTCTCTCTCCCACCTCTCCTTTTAAAAGAGAAACCCTGTTTTTGTTTTCATTTGCTGGACCCGCCTAACGCTAACCCAACAAACATACATACATACATAAGTTTAAACAGGTGTCAAATTGAAAGATAATTTCATAGTACCTGTTAGACGTTCTTTGACGGGTAAATACACAATAGCGGGTACAAATCTATTACTTACTACATCCGCACCAACATCATTATCATCACCATCATTGCCATCGCTTTGCGCCACGGCCTCTATAACAAATGCCTGCATTTGAGACGATGTTCCATCTTCACGTGGCACCGCAAATGAAGCTGGTTTGCCAGATTGTTGGGCGATTTCTTGTAGAAATTGTTGTTGAAAATTAGCAAAAACCGGTGAGCATGCGGCTGATCTAAAGCCTCGTGGCGAGAGTGAAGAACGTTGGAAATCTTTGCTATCACTTATGGAGTTATCTTGTGTTAGCTGGATTTTGGGACTAAGAGGTTTGGGCATATCCTCGCGGCTAGTGGTAGAGGTAATTTCGGTGGGTGAGGGTGTACGCATGGAGAGGTTAGTGGGTTCATTGTTGGTTACAAACGGTACTTGTTCCTGCTGTCGCTTGTTTTCAAACTGTTCATTGTCGTCTTCATCCAAAGCCACTATTTCGGGGGGAGTTTCACGGCTGGATTTTCTTTTCAAGGATTTGCTGTCCTTCTTTTCTGGCATGGACTCCTGGTTGTGTGGCTGTTGTTGTGGTTCCTCTAATTTTTCCTGCTTAAAATGTTGTTCCGTATTTTCTTCCGGTTCCGGTTCCTGTTCATTATTATTGATTATGGAATGTGTACGTTCGTGTATGAATAGGAATGCATAGTAGGGTGTGGTAAATGGACACATGGAACATTGATATTCCTTTAGCTGTGGTGATTGGAGATTTTGTTCATTATTAAAAGCGTTAGCCATATTGTTTTTCGGCATATTCTGTAGCAAATGTTGGGCATTGAGATTTTGCAAAGCTTGAGCTAATTGAGCTGGTGAGGGTACTGCTGTAGGTGTATTTGAGGAACCAGCCGAACTGGAACCATTGGGTACTTTTAGAGTAGGACTAGAGGGTTTACTTAAACTGCCACCATACTGCTGTTCCAATTCACGTACCTTATCCATGCCGGAGGGACCATGTTCGCTAATCAAATGACTTCTCAGCCATTTGACATTGCGAAAACGTCTAGTGCAAATGGGACAAATTTCGGTATATGTTGAAGAGGGATACGCATCATTTTTACCCTCTGAACCACCACTGCCAAAGGGACTCATGTTGAGATTTCTATTTAGGCCTTCCGTCTCTAGCATTTGTTGCTGCAAAGCCGTTTCCAAATTCAAACCATTTTGTCTGGGTTGTGGCAAGGGGGCACCATCCTCTATAATGCCATGGGTATTGTGTTTGTGTACCCTAAGGAAATATTTACTGCACAATTCCTTATTGCAGATATTGCACACTACACCGCCGATTTGGGCTCCATTTTCGATTTCAATGCCATGCATTCTTTGCATGTGAGTCTTCATGAAATATTTATTGCACAATTCCTTATTGCAAATCTCACAATAACTGCTGGTGGGCGTAATGGTATAGGGAGGTCTGGTACTCTGAGCCATAGCAGGATTAATCGGTCTTTCGGGCGTTACAAAGCCTTCGCGTAAAGGACTTCCCGAGGTATTGGTTAGCAAATGAACTTCAGTGATATGTTTTTGAAATTCTGGCAAGTTGGTAAACTCTCTTTCACAAGGTGTACAGCGCAGCTCCCCAGCACCGGCTCCCATGCCCATTAAAGGCATTAAAGAACTGGGTGAACCATTGGGAGACTGTTTGAGCAAAGCTTGTTGTTGCATTAGCAGCTGGGAGGGGAAATTTAGAGGAGGCATAGCGCCCTCCATACCTCCTGCATGTTCGGCCATTATATGAGCCTGTAGAGCATATTGATTTTCCATTTCCCGTCCACACAAATGACAAGCTATGGGTCTCTTGCCATTCAAATCATTTAACTGTTGTATCATGGTCTGTAATTTTTGTAGATTTTGCAAACCCATGGCTGCCTCAGGACTTTGAGCCATAGTCTGGCTATCGGCCATTAATTTGCTGGGTTCTGGTGTCGAGGGCACACTTAAGACCTGATTATTTTCACTGCGATTTTCTTGATTTTCATCATTGTTCGAGTCCTTCATAACCTCATCTTCATCGGGTTGTTCTAGTTTTATGCGTTTGCTAGACTGTTGCGCTAAATCTTCTGTGGCTGCTGCTTCAGCTCCTCCCGACATCATGCGTTGAGCCATCATTAAATTAACCGGCATACCAGGCATATTCATGAATGGCCAAGTGGGCAGCTTTTGAGGATTATCCGCTTCCTCGGGAGGCATAAAAATACCATGACGTTTCCATTTGTGGGTGCGTAGGAAATATTTATTACAATATTCCTTACAACAGATCTCACAGAAAGCCTCCGGATTGAGTACACCCAAACGTTTCAGTTTATCATGGGCAAAGTTGGCTTCGCGGGCCTGCTGTTGCGACTGTGGCGACAGTTTGCGAGGTTGTGGTGTAAATGATACTTCTTCCTGTTCCAAAACGAAATCTTGACGAAAACCTTCAGGCATTTGGAATTGTTTGCCTGTTGCTAATTCAGGAGTTTGGTTAGAAGGTGTAGTGGCTTCTAAAGAGTTGCTGGAACCTTCCGAAGGACTGTTACGCTGTGAATTACTATTGGAGTTTTGTTCATGAGCCTTGGCCCGATGACGACGCATGGCAAAGACATTGGTAAAACGTTTTGAGCAAATATCACAAAATACCGGTGCTGGAGCTGGTGGTGTAACTTGTGTGTTCGGCTGCTGTTGCGAGTTGCTGCTGCTGGCTTTTGCAGTTGGTGAGTTGAGGGTTGAAGAGGCCTCACTGTCTTTGCGTTGCTGTTCATTTATCAGCTTCTGTTGGGCCAATTCCATTTGCATTTGTTGCTGCTGCTGTTGCAAGTGTTGATGTTGCTGTTGCATTTGTAATTGAAACATTTGATTCATGGCATTCATGCTGGCATTCTGTTGTTGTTGCTGGCTGCTACTGAGACCATCACTGCTGGGATCATAGATGCCATGCTTGTTGGCTTTGTGGGTTTTTAGGAAATATTTATTGCAAAACTCTTTATTGCACAGTTCGCAAAAAGCTTCAGGGTTAAAAATTCTTAGAGGAGGACGATTCAGACCATCGACACCGGGAAAGCCGGGAACACCTAACAAAGGCAAATAACCTCCGGCCTGTAGAGCGGCTGCAGCAGCAGCTTCTGGAGGAAAAGAAAAACCCATGGGGCCCATGGCAGGGCCACCCATCCATTGTTGCTGTTGCTGCTGCAGATCTTTGCCATTGGTTAAAAGACCTGCAGAGTTGGCATTATTATGTTGCTGAGACTGATCATGTGTGTTGGAGCCAGGATCTGAATTATGATTCGAAGAGGGTGATTCACATTCAGGCCTCTCCAATTTCACCTTAACCGAGGCCAATATATCCAAAGGAGTCATATCTCCAGTTGTACCCTGATGATTAGCATAACCCTCCGAGTTCTCATTGTGTTCCTGCATCATGTGCAGACTTAATTTAAATTCATTTTCAAAATTTTCACCACACTCCTTGCAGAAGGTATGATATGGATTACTATAAGCCTGTTGATGTTGCTGCTGCTGATGATCATCCATTTTGTGATCATTTAATTCCTGAGTTTTTGATATGTTTTCAATGTGTTGCTGCTGCTGTAACAATTCGAAAGTTTCCTTAAACTGTTCCATCGATTTGGGCAAAAACATTTTCGATAATTTATCCTCATAGTCTACCGTGGGAGCAGACGTGTTTGTGGTATTCGTATTGCTGCTCTCCTCATCCATGCGACTGGGATTGTGTTGTTTGCGACGTTTTTTGGCAGCATCATTTATGGCTTCTAATAATTGTAGTTGCATGGCTGCATTAGCAGCTGCGGCTACAGCAGCCATTGTATTGGCTGTCTCATTATCATCGTCTCCATTATCATGTGCGATAATGGCATTTGTAGAGCTTCCCATTGTGGGCAATTTGGAAGAGCATTGTGTTGTGTTGGAAAGATTAATCGAGGGTTTACTGCTGCTGCTACTACCACTACTACTGCTTGTGCTGCTGCTGTTGTTGGTGTTGTCTTTAAGAACATCCGATATTGTGCGTTTTTGTTTATTGTTGTTATTGTTGCTTGTGGATAGTGTTGATGATGTTGTTGATGTTATCGCTGTTGTAGTTTCCTCACATGTATTGTTGTTAGTGTTGTTGTTGTTGTTGTTTGTTAATTGTTTTAATGTTGCTGCTGCTGCTGTTGTTGCATTTGCATTTGTTGTTGATGAAGTATTGGATACATCTGATAAAGCTGTATCCTCGCTACTTAAATCAGGCGGTGGGGTTGCATATATAGAAGCGGCCATTTTTGTTATTACTAAAATGAGACGAAGAAGAAAGGGAAAGAGCGAGAGAGAAAAAAAAAGTTAGTTTAATTAAATTTAAGTGTTAATAATTAATTTTCATATTGTTGAGCGATATTTAAGGATCAGTTTATTTGCGGGAGTTTAAGTTTTAGATTTGATATTTTTATATAGAAAATTTAAAGGTTAGCAAAATTAGAAGATTGTTTCATTAAAAAGATAAAGTTTTAACTTGTGGCAGAATGTAGGATGTGAATATCATTCAAATTTGTTTAAATTAGTGCGAAATTTTCATCGGTATGCTTGAACCGATATCACTGCTTTATCAGATATCAGCTTATTCCTTTTACCATTAAGGTCAAAGGTTAATTTCATAAGTTAAAGGTACACTTCATAGAAAACGAAGCTTTAACCTGTTGTTGCAGAATGAATGTTAAGAGGATCCTTCAAATTCCTTTAAATATCCCGAAATTTCAATTAGTATATTTGAACTGATATCTTTAACTCTCTAACCATAAAGGTCAAAGGTTAATTTTTCAAATTAAAAGATTATTTCAGAGAGAATGGAAAAGATTCGACTTATTGCGATCGTGCAAGTTCAAAAATATCACTACTGCACTGGAACCTTTATCAGTAGTTTAGTCAACTTTTTTACCAGAAAGGTCAAAGGTTAATTTTTCATATTAAAGGATTATTTTTTAGAAAATAAAGTTAAGATTTGTTACAGAATGAATTTGACGAAATTTACTTAATGTGTCTCAAATTTTCACTGGAATGGTTTATAATATATCGACTTTACCTCTTTTACTTTAAAGGTCAAAGGTTAAATATTCAAAATAATGAAAATTTTTTAAAAAAATTGAAAATTTCTTAAATAGTAGGAAATTTTAATAGATGAGTTGGAAACGAGATGACTGGTTTATCAAAGCTTAACGAAAGTCAACTTTCAGCTTTTTACCGTAAAGGTCAAAGGTTAAAATATTCAAAATAATGGAAATTTCTTAATAAAATTGAAAATTTCTTAAATAGTTGGAAATTTTATTAATGTTTTGGAAATGAGATGACTGGTTTATCAAAAGCTAAACGAAAGTCAACTTTCGACTTTTTAGCATAAACGTCAAAGATTTAATATTCAAAATAATGGAAATTTGTTAATAAAAATTTCTTAAATAGGTGGAAATTTTTATTAATGAGTTGGAACGAGATCACGGGTTTATCAAGTGTCTTACGAAATTCAACTTTCAACTTTTTACCATAAAGGTCAAAGGTTAAATATGCAATATAATAAAAATTTGTTAATAAAGTGGAAAATTTCTTAAATAGTAGGAAATTTTCATTGATGAGTTGGAAACGACATGAGTGGCTTATCCAGTGTCTTACGAAATTCAACTTTCAAGTTTTTACCTTAAAGGTCAAAGGTTAAATTTGAAAAAATATAGGAATATATCAATATTTTTACAAATTTTGATAAGTTTTTCTTAAGAATTTTTAAGGCCAGAGAAAGTAAACATATTTCTTTAAACGAAAAAGCTTTAACAGCTTTCTCAAATAAGGTCAAAGGTTAAAGTTTCAAAAATTAAATGAATATTTTAATAGTTTTCAATTTATGGTAAAATTTTTATATAATATTTATTATAAGTTCAGAGTTAGCAAATTTCTTACGATATGGAAAAAACTTGCTTTAATTGTAGTTTAACATTTAAACTTTAATTAATCTTTTCTGACAGCTAAACAACTGACCCTTAAACGGTTAAAGTAATTGACATGCTTTTAAACATGCAGTAATTTTTATATATATAATTTTTTTTATAATAAATAAATTTATATTAAAGTAGTAGTGGTGGTAAGTAGTAGTTAATAAGTATATACAATATATATATTTAATTTTCTGTTTTTAATAAAGGGATGCCAATAAGGGAAAGAGATATATTACTATGTGGCAAGAGTGTGTGTGTATATATATAATATATATATATTTTTTTTAATAAAAATGTTTAATTAAAAATTACTTTTTCCAATATTGGTAATTTTTGCGCATGACTAATTTATTTTCAGTTTTTTTATACTTTATTATTAAACTTTTATAATAAGCTTTTATACACAGAGTACAAACATACTTATAACCCCAACTCTGCGAAAAAAATATAATAAAAATAATAAAGAAAAAAAAAGAGGAATCCTCCAGCCTAGTAACACTTTATAACCTTAACAAACATACACAGAGAGAAAAACTAACTAACAAAAAAAAATTTATATAAAATAAAGTTAAAGGAAAAAAGTGAAAAATTTTTTTAAACGAAATTCCTGCTAACAATAAGTATTTGTATGCATACATACACACAAACAACATATGAGCTTACTTACACTCTTACATATCTTTGAATATATGTGTTTTTTTCATATACATACCACAAAATTTATTTTATTTTTATATGATTTTACTTTTTTTTCATTTTTGTGCAAATTCTATGAAAAGAAATTTTCCATTATACATAATTTTGTTTTTTTTTTTTTCATATATATTTGTACATTTTCTGGTATATTTCCTGGCAACAGCTTCCTACCCCCCACCTTACTAGCCTTCAAACTTAATAAATTTTTTTCTTTTCTTATTTTAAGCCTAAAATAAATAAGAAAAAGCTACCAAAATTGCAAAAGAAAAATTGTATAAAAATTAAAGGGAAAAAAAAAATCAGCCTGCCAACCAATATATTCACAATTCTCAATTCACACAATTCACGCCCCCACCTTGCCTCTACAATATGTATTTACATTTACAAGAAAACTAAATTCTTTTCTTTTTTTCCTTAAGCTCACAAGAAAACGTACAAAAAAATTATTATTGTATAAAATAATGAAAAAGAAAAAAGCGAGAAAAAAAAGCAGAAAAGAAATTCTGCACACTACTATATAATTTTATACAAAGTCATCCGATTTAAGGAATACAAATTTTACACACACATACACACAAACTAACATAGTTTTTATGTTATAAATTTCCTCTTACAATTTACAAAAACTCCCCAACCTCCCCTCCAGTCTCCCCCCCATCACCCTACTCTCACTACTTTAATCATACTTTCTTTACAATTTTGCCAGCTTCACCCCCTTTTTAATGTATTTGTTTGTTTGTATGTGGAAGAAATCGGTTAGCCAGTCAGTCAGTCAGACCACCACCCACCCACTTAATTTTTTTTTTTTTTGGTTTATTTTTCCTCTTTTTTAGTTTTTATTTGGGTAAGAGTTGATGTCTTTTATAAAACTTATAATTTTTCCTTGTTGTAGTTGTTGTTGTACAACATGACTTGGCTAAAATAAATTTCATTCTTAAGAAACTTTTGAGCCCATGCAAAAAAAAATAAAAAAAAAATTGTGGAAAATGAAAAAAACATAAAAATTTTTGCCAAAAAGTAAAGCAAAAAGAAGCTGGAAAGAGTTTTAAAGGAGTGTAAACTTGGAAATTTTCCAAAAGCTTATATATACCCCAAATACTTATGTTTGAAAAGCTTTTCTTTAGATAAAATTTCTTTTGAGGACTTTATCTCTAAATGCTTTTGTTAAAAAAAAAGTTCTCTCTGAAAGCTTTACTTTAGCAAAAGTTTACTCAGGAAACTAGTCTTTTGAAATACAGCTTTTAGTAACCTTTTCTCTATAAAATAATGCCTTTTCAAGAGGTTTATTTCTAGACAAAAATCCAGTAGAAAGCTTTTGATAAGAAAAAGTTCTCTCAGAAAGCTTTCTTTAGACAAGCTTGCGAAGATTTTCCTTTAAAAAGCATTTCTTTAGATAAAATTCCTTTTTAAAAGTTTAGCTTTAGACAAAATTTCAAAAGAAAAGCTTTTATTTAGAGAAAGTTCTCATAAAAAGCTTTTGTTTAGAAAGTGTTCCTGCTGGGAATTTCTTTGACAAGCTTTTCTTTAGAAATTTTTTTTTTTGAAAAGCTTTCCTTTATGAAGTTTTTCTTTCAATAAAGTTTCTTTGAAAATATTTTGAAAAGCTTTTCTTTATGAAATTTTTCTTTCAATAAAGTTTCTTCGATAATAATTCTCTTTCAAAGCTTTTCCTTTGAGAAGCATTTATTTAGATAAATTTCCTTTTGAAAACTTTAGCTTTAAATAAAATTTCAAAAGAAAAGCTTTTATTTAGAAAAAGTTCTCAAACAAAAACTTTCTTTAGAAAATGTTCCTGGTGGAAAGAAATTTCTTTGGAAAGCTTTTAGATAGAAAAAGTTTTTTTGAAAAGCTTTTTTTGATGACGTTTTTCTCTCAATAAAGTTTCTTCGAAAAATTTTTTAGAAAAACTGTTCTTTAAGGAAACATTTTTTAAGAAAAGTTTGCGAATAATAGTTCTCTCTCAAAGCTTTTCCTTTGAGAAACATTTCTTTTGATAAAATTCCTTTTGAAAAGTTTAGTTTTAAATAAAACTTCAAACGAAAAGCTTTTATTTAGAAAAAGTTCACAAATAAAGCTTTGATGGGTAAAAATTTCTATGGAAATCCTTTCTTTAGAAAAAATTTCTTTGAGAAGAAATTTTTTAGAAAAAAACTGTTTGAACATGAAACTTTTCGTTACAATAAGTTCTTTTAAAAAACTTTTCTCTATAGAAAATTTCTTTCAAGAAGTTTATACAAAAATCTCTTAGAAAGCTTTTCTTTATAAAAGTTTCTTCTCTTATGATGCCATTGCTTAAAAAGCTATAGATCAAATTCCTTTTGAGCAGTTAATTTCTAGGTAAAATTTAGAAAAAGCTTCTCAGTATATGATTCTTTATAAATTGTTCTCTTATGAGCTTTTCTGTGTAAATTGTTCATAATGAGAAGAAGTCTTTTAGAGAAAAATTTCTTGAGAAAAGAGAAAAAGTTTTTTTATGAAAAAGTTCATGCATGAAGCTTTTCATTAGAAAAATTCTAAAAGTTTCTTAAGGAAGCTTTTCTTTAGAAAAAGTAGCTGAAAGAGTATTTTTAAAAAACAAATTTTTAGAAAAAGTTCTTTAGAAAGTCTTTCGTTGAAAAG